AAAACAACAACACAAAATATATATGAAAAAAAAACAAAAAATTATGATGAAACTCCATTAATTTTTGTTGCCTTAGTTGCTGTGGCTGTGGCTGTTGCTGTTGCTGTTGCTGTTATTGTTATTTTTGAGGCCCGTTTGCGGCGGCTGCGTCATTGTTAATGAGTTTTTGCGTATGGCTTACTTATGGCGAGAGGAGCCGTCGCAGCCTGGACCAGTTCCAAGGAACTTAGGACTACGCTGCGGCCCTCAGACAAAGTTGGCAAGCCAACGGCCCAGCCCGGCCCAGCCGCAGAGGCTACTTAATATTTGCCTGATTCGCGCTGAGCTTACTGCCGCCGCCTGTCCAGTCCTGTTCTGTCCTGTTCTGTCCTGTCCGTGGCCTGGACGGGCCAGGCAACTTCTGTGCGATTCTTTTTAATAAACTTCTTAGATAGAAGTTAAGCGCTGCAGCACTTCGATATGCCTCATCGTCAGCTTGCCCCATCCTCCATGCTCCATGCTTCATGCAGTCGGGCAAGTTGCTCTGCTTTTCCCACGCTGCTGTCCAGCCGACCAAAATTAAAGCCATTAGTTTACACTTTACATGCTAATGGCAAAGGCTCGAAAGGAGCCTGTCGCGTCCTTCACAGCCTGCCCCCAGGGGCAGGCGGATAGCAATGTTCGTGCTTCTGGTTAGCCGCCGAGCCAGCTCAACTCAAGTCAAACCAAGGCAAGCCAGCCAAGCAGCCAGCCTATCCTGCTGAATAAAACCAATGAACTTTTTAATTGCCTATGAACCCCGACCGCCAATCCCTGTCTGTAGGCTCCAATTGCCATTCCCATTCCCATTCCCATTCCTGTTCCCGGTGCGCACACCAGTTAAGCCTCATCCGCTCTGCGAGTCGCGTATTCGAGTAGCCCGACGTTAGCCCGTTCTCATGTCTGCGCACTGCCACAATTTCAAGTTTTACTGTTTGCTGTTATTTTATTTAGACAATTGGCGCCGTTACGGCCGCGAACATTCGCCCAAATTAACGACCTGTTTCGATTAGAGACGAGTGGCGTTTACTGCACTTTCCAGTTGCTCAGTCGTCCAATTGGCCAGTTGGACAGTTGGACAGTTGGACAGCTGGCCAGCTTTGAGACTGTTTATGGCCCGGGTAAATCATTTAAATTATGGCGCATTGAACACACGGCTCAGCTCTATTGATTGGCTAGCAACAAGGTGCGCGTCTTTGCGACTTGAAATATGGCATTCGATTGCGACAGGATAGTAAAAGTTGGCCGAGGAGCAACAAAGACACAGAAACTTTGGTCTAACTTGGCCAGTAGACTTGCCTTTGCCTCTTTCAGAGCGCAAGCTCAGCTCGAATTGGGCCAGACACGTGGATGGTCCTATCGCTTAGAGGCCCATCAATTATTGTAGATGCTCCTTATCTTGATTCTTAGCTGGTAATCAGGGCAATTGTCACTTCACTTGGGTGCCCGCTGCGGCCGGCCTTATCTCAGGTGGTCGGCATATGAAGTGGCTAATTAAAATAGTTAAATGTCATTTGACCCTTAGGGCTCCCGAACGGAACCTCAAAGGCGAGCATGGAGAGGCGCGAGCTAAACAAATTTGGCTGGCGCAGCAGGTGGCGGGGATCGGTGAATCTGGCAACTGGAACCGTCGGAGCCGTCGGAACCGTCGGAACCGGGAAACTGATCACAGCAGGCGCTATCAACGACGGCGCTGCAGGTTCAGCACCTTTTGTGCGATAGCCGGCAATAAGTTGGCTACATCAATCGGAGGCGGTGTCATAATTTTCACAGCAGGTGTCGCTGCTAATGATTTACAGCGGTGTGAGTGGCGGGCAACGAGCAGCAGAGAGAGCGGTGCGAGTGGGAGAGAGATGGCGCACTTAGACCAACTGCAGAGTAACGAGCGCAACAAACTGCAGCGGTAGTAAAAATGAAAACATGGACAAAAAAAGAACAAAAATCTAAATTCGTTGTGGGCAGACGCGCTTCTCTTTGATGTCGCAGTCAGAGGGCTAGTGGAGAAACTAAGTGGAGGAGGGACCGTCAGTAACTGAGAGGGAGCGAGAGCCGAGATAATGGACAGCTCATTGTTGCTGTTGCTGTTGTTGTTGTTGTTGTTGTTGTTGTTGTTATTATGGCCCAACAACATCAAGTTGAAAAACAATTTATTATTCATTTTGTGTTTGCTGCATATGTGTTTGTGTATCTATAGGTATAGGTCTGTCTCCTTTCAATTTGGCCCGGTTAAGTACGGTTCCGATCGGCCTAAGCCCTTTTCCCCTGCAGCCGCATTCACCTTTACAGCCACAGCCACAGCCACAGCCATAGCCACAGCCACGGCCACATCCACATCCACAACTCTGTCCACAGTCAAGCCGTGGGGCGTTGCAGTGGCTCGCCGCGCTAATTTGGTCATGTTGGATGGCCGCGGAACGAAAGCCTGGCGCCAATGGCGCCCCCTATGGCGCACAAATGCTAAACAAATTGTTAAATATTGTAAGCGATTCGAATTGGGGCACTTGTTGTTTACCGTGCCAAACAATAGAGGGTGGACAGTGATGAAGCGTAGGTGTAGCTCCTTGGCAGGCACCGGGCTCACGTGAGTTTGGCATTCTGCATTGGCTTTAAGTGAAAGAGACAGTTATTACTTCAAGTCTAATTGGCCTAAAGAGGACTTTCTTGTTAGTGCTCCCGGAAGAGGATAACTTCATTCAAGCTCTAGAGCGGAGTACTACCTTCGAGCGGTAGAGGTGGAGGTAGGTAACAGTAACAGTAACTTAAACAGTGAATCAGTGAATATCCTAGATGTTATTTAATCTATAGAGCGTAGTTCTCATCGAGTGCTACTTATAGCTAACTCGTGATATGATTTCTTCTATTTGAATTGAGTTCCATGGGACTTCTCACTTACAGCACCATACCACTAACAGTAGAAGAGCAAGTGAGCTGCCTGACTGTCAGTTCTTCTATATTCGAGCATTGGAGCTGGATGTTGTCAGACTCAAAGCTGACCTTTTCCCATAAAGCAAGTAACTTAGTCCAATGTCTTATCGGGTACAGAGCAGTCACCTGGTCGGACAAACTCTGACTTGGCTTTTAGCTGCTGTGCTAATCGATGAATCAAATCATCTAGCATTTAAATTTGCAGAGACTTGATTGACTGGCTAACTGATTAGCTAACTAACTAACTAACTGACTTACTGGCTTACTGCCTGCCCGATATCATTTTGTATAATTTTCTTGCCACACACTCGAGCTCACTCTGCACTCTGCAGGGAGCCATGTGCGCAGTTGCACGACGTTGAAATTGCTCCAATTATGTTGGCTCCGGTGCGGGTTAGGCCTGGCCTGGCTTTGGCTTTGGCTCTGGCTCTGGCTCTGCTCGGATTCGGGGCCAAAGTAGTTCGGTGGCCAACGTCGCGACGATGGCTTTCTGTTTTGACTGCACGGCTCATCCTTTCCACCATTCATTCTGTGCTCTTGCACGGTGACTGGACTGGCCCCAATATCATTATACTGCCAGCGGGGCAGTGGCACCTCTCTGACATATTGCGCGGCGATAGCAGCCACAGCGACATCGCTATAAACGTGCCACAACAAGTTTCGACCCGGCTACCAGAAATGCACAGTCGCCCAATCCCCCAATCGCCCAATCGGCGCTCTCTGCCTGAAATCTCAGCCAGCAGCAATGCGGAAACGGCCTGGGCCGGCTATCGATTTGCAGTTGGCTATGAACCCGAGTGCGCTCCCTGTGGGTAGCTGGGCGACCCCGGCAATTATTCGACAAATAGCAGCTTCCGCGGCCTCAATCTGCGCCAGCCTGATTGCGGCCTGCCACGGCTAGCTAGCTGCCGCCTTAGCTGTTTCTCCTCCTACAGCTAATCTTAGCCGCTAAATTGGCCGCTAAGCAACGGTACAGCTGAACTGTAAAACACAGACTTAATGCTCTTAGACAGACAGGCAGGCTGCCAGGCAGCCACTTGACTACTGGGTGGACAAAGCGGATTCGGCTGAGTTTCGCGAGTCGATCACATTTGTGGCGGCTCTGTTGACAATTTCGGGTGGGGGCATCAAACAGATGCTGAAGCTGCCAGGCGAAATGTGTGTGACGAGGATCAGCGAAAGGATAAGCCGCCGTCGTCCAACAGATTGAGACTGGGCAGGTAAGGCTGAGCTGATCCTTGACCGTCGTCAATCACACTGCAATTTTGGCTACAGCTAGGGACAGTAATTGGAAGTGTTAGCCAGATAGATGCACAAGTGCCCAGGGGATGTTGCCGCATCGCTAGACAAGGCCAACAGCAGCAATTCGTTCTGGGCAGGTTGAACAAAGCCAGGATCACAAATGAGATCCTATTGTTCTTCAGAGAGCGCGGGAGGGGGAGAGAGAGACCCAGCTGTGCGGAAGTCAAAGTCAACTAAATGAAATCACAGCACATGTTGTGTCCGTGTGCGTGTGCGTGTGTGTGTGTGAGAGTGTGTGTGTGTAACTAAAGTTAGTTAAAAGCTATAAAAGCCAAGACCTTAAACGTCTTGAGCACTTCCCCTGAAACGCTGATATACATAATGTCGTGAATGATTCCGGTTACAGAGCTTCTGGAATTCCGCTGAACCCTACTGAGAAATGCAGCTCGTAAAGGCGCGGACTTTTAACGGGCATTTAAAATGTGAAATCTCCGATATGATTTACGTTGCGAATTAATTTCGTGGGCCGACGTTGCGTCGGTGGCATTAAAACGGTTTTTGGATTTCTGTTTTTGTTTTTGGCTTCCTTCTGATTGGGAATCTTGCCCGTCTCTGTTGATGTGCTGGCTGAAAAGGAGCCGCAACACAGGATATGAAATTGAGCATAACTAATTAGAATTCAAACAATTTTCAGATTCGAGCGAAAGACGCGCTTGTTAATTAAGAAAACTAAAGAGGAAGTTGAGCCGTTCCCATGGCAACTGCATTGAACCCAACTTAATGACGGTACCCCAATTTCTTCACGCTCTTTTTAGGATCATCCTAGTCTGCGCGGCACTCCGCTGGCCATGCTGGCCGCCCAGTGCAACAAGCTGTCGAACAAATCACCGCCGCCGCTGGCCGATGCGGCCGTCGGCAAGGGTTTCCATCCCTGGAAGAAGAGTCCCAATTCACCGGCAGCAGGTAGCAGCAACGCACCCGGCGGCGGTGGTGCATCTAGCCTCAGCGGCAGCAGCAGCGTTGGCCAGCACTCGCCCTGCGCCATCTCGGCGGCAAGCTCGTCCAGCTCCAGTGGCAGCGGCAGCGGCGGAGGAGGCGGCGGTGGCGGAGGCAGCGGCGGGCAAACATCGCGCAGCCTCTCGTCCAGTGCTAACAGCAGCACTATGGTAAACATCACAGCTAGGTAAGCAGCACGACGGCGCACAGTGGTCCAATGCCTATGAATCTGGCTGAGCCAAGGATGAGCAAGCACACCGAAGAGTGAGCCCGGATCCAGACTGACTGGCTCCTCCTCTCCTCTTCATGCAATTCGAGGGTCCGCTTGCGTGCGGCCTTTGCTCAGCTAGCGTTCTGGCGGCTTGTGGACCACTGTGCGTTGGCTAGACAACGGCATGCTTTATACAACTTGTGAGTAATTTCAGCATATATCCTTACAGTCGTCCGCTCGCCTCGTCCTGCGCGGCCGTGGGCACCTCGGCGTCTGCATACGGCAGCGACCTGTACTTTCCCAACACGTCCACGTCGTCCGGCAGCATGGTGGCCGACAATCATCACATGCACCAGGGGCTGTTGGGCAAGGTGGAGGGCGCTGCGTTCGGGTCGGTCTACTCGCGCCACCCGTACGACTGGCCCTTCAACGCGGTGACTGCGTCCGCCCACAAGGCCGCCGAGGCAGCCAGCGTCAACTCGGGCTGGTGGGACATGCACAGCGCTGCCGCTGCCGGCAGCTGGCTGGACATGGGCAGCGCAGCGGCGGCGGGCATGCACTCGACCATGGCCAACTATGCGAGCGCCGCGGCCGCTGGCACGGATTACAGCTCGGCGCTCTCGCACTCGCTGTCGAACACGGCCCATCTGCTGGGCTCCGGCCAGCACTTGCTGCAGGACACGTACAAGAGCATGCTGCCCGGGCAGGGGGTGGGCGGCTTCTCGCTGCCGCACAGCTCGCCGTCGGCGGCGGCCACGGCCGCCTCGCCGCAGGCCTCGACCCCGTCCACGCCCTCTCCGCGCTCGCAGCGACGGTACGCGGGCCGCGCGACCTGCGACTGCCCGAACTGCCAGGAGGCGGAGCGCCTGGGCCCGGCCGGCGTTCACTTGCGCAAGAAGAACATCCACTCCTGCCATATTCCGGGTTGCGGCAAGGTGTACGGTAAGACGTCGCATCTGAAGGCGCATCTGCGATGGCACACCGGCGAGCGTCCCTTTGTGTGCAACTGGCTGTTCTGCGGCAAGCGCTTCACGCGCTCCGACGAGCTGCAGCGGCATTTGAGGACACATACCGGCGAGAAGCGCTTTGCTTGCCCCGTGTGCAACAAGCGTTTTATGCGCAGCGACCATCTGGCCAAGCACGTAAAGACGCACAATGGCACGGCGCCGAATGGCATTAAAAAGGGCTCCTCGGAGTCGTGCAGCGACTCTGAGGAGGCAGCCAATCAGTCGGGTGAGTCGAACGGGTTGGGCGGCGCGTCCAGTGGCCAACAGACGGGCGCAGGTGGTGGCGGCGGGGGTGGCTCCGCCAGCTCCGGCTCCGGCAACGGCAGCTCTGGCTCCGGTGCCGGCGGCAATCGAGCTGGCAGCCATCCCGGCACCCCGACCTCGCTGCATGCGCATAGCGCCTCCAGCACGTCCAGCAGCCTGCTGGGCGGCGGTCTGCACCTGGCCACGCCGCACCAGATGGTCGCCGCGGGCGGCTCGCCGGTGATGCTGCATCAACATCAGCAGCAACAGCATCAGCAGCATTCGCATCAGTCGGCGCACCAGCAGCAGCAACAGCAACAGCAGCAGCAGCAACAGCAGCAGCAGCAGCAACAACAGCAGCAGCAACAGCAGCAGCAGCAGCAGCAGCAACAGTTCTCGCAGCAGCAGTCCCATCCACATGCCCATCTGCACCACCATCACCATCACCTGGTGGGCGCATCGGCACCCAGTCCCGGTCTGGATCAGCGTCTGGACCACAGCGCCCTGGTAGACATCAAGCCGCCGATGGTTTGAGGATCGCTGGGACCCTTTTTGTTTACCAATTGAACAGAAATGGGTTCCTGGACGCAGTTCAATGTGCACCACCATTGGGCGCATCTATAATTAGTGGGCGTGGCACAGCACTCGACACACTAATACAATAATGACACACACACGCACTCGTAAAAATAATTATTTTGTGGATTTCGCATTTTTTTTTTAAACAAAAATATAAATAAAAGCTAAGCAATTTTTTTTTTAGTATGTTTTAATAAATATTACGTGTACATAAAAGGCTTAGAAATGCTAAATACAAGTTTCCGCTATCTTAATTAACAAAAGAAAACCAACTAAAAAAAAACACACACACAAATTGCTAATTCTTAAAATAAAAATGAAATAATATATATATATATATATATATATCTTAAAGTCCTGCTTATATCCTATTGTATATATGTATTTAATGTATTTCTAGATGTCTATACGAATATAGTTTCATATATATATCAAACGATCCTCAAATTTACAATCATAAAATTATTGCTATTGATATAAAGTATGCTACAAAAAAGAGTTTTTTTTTTCATAGTTCTTAGGTAAACAATTATTAAGAGAAATGGATTTATTAATATGCTCAGCGTTTACAAAAGTTATATATATACATATATATATATATACATATAATATGCTTAACACAATGACAAGCTAGAATTGAAAATTGAAGAATCGAAAGAATAATGAAAACTAATCTGATTTCAATGAAAGGTAAACAATTATTATTATTATTATTATTTGTTGAACATTATGTGAGCAATTCAAAAAATAGTTTAAACTTATATATTATTAAAATAATATTTCTAGTCCAATTATGCAAAAACAAAAAAGAAAAACAAAAAGAAAAAGAAAGGAAAAATAACAAACAAAAAAAGAAACAAAACAAAAGCGATTATTTCTAAAACTAAGGATAATAAACCAAAATTGTAAATCTAAACAATAATGATTTGCTTCAATCGAACGCTAAATATGCATGACAAGTGTGAAGGAGGCGCTAGGAGGCGTGGCCAGTGCTTCTTCTCCCGCTATATGCATTATCTTAATAATTGTTAAATAAAAACTACTTTTTTTTATCCACTTAAAATATGAATATACATATACGAACTATGCATACTATATTTAAGACGCTAGTGCATTACAATTTTGCAACTAAATGTGTTTTTTTTTTTTTTTTTTTTGTATTTGAATTTAACTACACTTACATTTCATATATGTATACGTGAATGGAGGAAACAAAAACAAAAAACAATTAGGGCTTGACTAGTTTTTAACTCTTTAGCGAGATCAAACTTACTTAGCAACTTTAAGCTGTATATGTGTGTATGTATGCGCGAATGTATGTGAGTGTGCATACGTGCACACGTATGCAGTTATATATACATATATATGTATCCATATATATAGATAATACTTTTTTTTTTTGTCAACAAACAACAAAATGTAAATTAAATATTTAAAATAAATTAAAAAAAATTACAAAATTTTATTAAAAATAAATGTAACAAAACTTTCAGTTATGACCATTTGCTGTTGTTGATGGTGTTGTTGTCCCTTGGACTCGGGCTCAATGAATATCAATTTGCCAGCAGCAGCCCGGGATAACGGGCTTCGTATACGTACGTGCGAGCGCAGGGGGATGCATTGCATGGGGGGATGCTGGGCCGTACACTTCCGATCTGAGCCATGTGGATTGCGGGTGGTTGCTGGGCTGGATGTTTTGGCCGCTGGGTGGGTGGGCTGACAGTTTATTTAACATTTGACGGTCGGAATGCTGCATTGTGGGCGTCAACGGAGGCGGCCTGCCCAACCTTGTCGTTAACGACTTAAACGTAGAAAAAAGGCGACGGGTAGAAAAACGCTTTACGGTTTACGCTATTTGCTTTGGTTACGCCAGTTACTTATGGGGGCCCGGCTGCTATTTGGGTGATTTAAATTTTATTACCGTGGATTTGTTGCCTGGGGTCGACGTCAGCTCAATGCTCAAATGCTCAAATGCCATCAAGGATGAGTGGGTCGCCGGGAAATTGGGGTAAGGGCAGATTGAAATTGAAGTATGTGCAGATTGTTTTTGATTTGGTTTGCTTTTTCCTTTGCTTCTCTTATGAGTAGATTAAGCTGCGCATTTATTTTTCGGCTGTTATGTTCTGTGTGTGTTGTCTGTCCCGAGGGGGCGTTCAATGGCGTTGGTAGTGTGGGCGGATTGGGTGGCTGGTGAGGTGGGTGGCTGGTGGCGGGTGACAAATGAATTGAAAATGCCCGACCGTAAATACATAAATACATAAATAATAAATAACAACAAATAACGGTTATCTCTCGGTATGTCAAAGGTTAAATACTTGATGACACATGAATCCCCTTAAATACAACAGGGAGAACCCAGTTGACTACAGATTATTTCCCACAATAGAATTTATACACATAACCGCATTTTTTCTTGTATTGGTAGACCAACGCAGTTCCATAGTGCAAATCTCAATTAATTGACAGCTTGCATTTAGATGGTGTACTAAATAAGTGGATCTAGAAGTGGTCAATACTAGATAGCTTTAGTGCATATGGAGATATAGACTATACTTGCACGATGTCGATTAGAAGAGCATTGATATTTTTCATTTCCTGCCTTCAACTTTTTTCTTTTCTCTCTTTTCTAGTTCTCAATAACTCTATTTTTCAATCTCTCTCATTCTGGATTTCTCATTTTCCTTCTCTCTCTCTATCTCTCTCTTTCTATGTAAATTTCATTCTCCTTCATTGTTTTCCTCAATTCATTAATGTGTTTTTTCCTGTCTCTCTCGTACTATTTACCCTCTTTTTCCCTGTCCAGCTTCCTCAATATCACTCTCATTCACATTTTCTATTTTTTTGCCACTCTCTTTTGCTCAATAAAATTATTTTCGATCATGCCATTTATCACCTTTGTCTACAATAACAAATACCTATTTCAGATCTATTCAATAATTAATAATATTAATAAATATATATTTCTTTCAATGTTAGCTAAAGAGAAGAAAACAATTTAAAAAGCTTTAGCTTCGACTGCACGATTACGAAATCCCTTAAAGTCTTTGGAGTACTGTTATTTTAATCATTCTCCGTCCTTTTATTCATAGCACATTAAAACTGAAATAGGAATTTTTCTGAGATATATATCTGATCCACTCTGATTATACTTACTAATAATAACTCACTGGCTTTATACAGAGGTTGACGCTCGTCAGCTTAATATAATCAAAAGAGAAAAAAAAGAAAATTTTGAAAACTAATGTGAAAATAATTCAAGTTGTTTTCAGATACTTTAAAGCTCTTACAGCGCACACAGTGAGTAAATTACTGTCTCGCTCGGGTGTCAAGTGAAAGATGTACGAGTCCCACTCAACGGCTGTCGAGTCCTGCTCCTGCTGTGCTGGAGCACCATTTGTATGGTCGAATTTCAAAAGAACGTCATGAAAGTTGTAAATAAAAATTATAATAGTACACAGCACAAACAGCAAACACAGAAGCAGAGGCGGCATGCGTTTGGCATCGGCTTGCCGCACTCATGCCCAGACGCACCCCACCCCACCCCAACCACACAGACACACATACACAGAGAGCGTCAATGGCACTGGACATTGTAGATGATAAATGGGCGCTCAAAAGGAGCAGCATATGCTTGGATGCTAAATCCTGTTTGCCAACAGTGTAAAACGCTCAGCACTCGAAGCTCTTCAACTAAATCTGAGAAAGCTCAGATGAGTATATAAAATGTATATATGTAAATATGTATATACTGTGTGTTTGTTTGTGTATCATTATGATTTTCATATATCATTTAAGTGGCGTTAGGCGCCGCTAATCAGGCGCTCGACAGATCTGCCAGAGTGTGGGAGACTTGGAATTGGTAGCTGTTAGTTATGCTGCTCCACCAGCTGCTGCCTCCTTTCCTCCTTCACTCCCTCGCTCCCTCCTCGCCCGTCGCTCCAGTGTCAACACTATGTGTCGCTTGGGGCGCTGGAGTGACAGGGGTGTCGCTGGCACTTCAAAAATTTCTTAATGGCTGCTCGCCTCTGGCTCTGCGGGTGCTTCCTCCTTGTTCACACATTGTTTTCATTAAGCAGCACCAAAAATTTGGAATCTGCTGCTGAATGAGTGCGCGTAATCTGTTGTTGTTGTTGCTGCTTGTCGTTTGTCGCTGAGTTGTCTCTCGCTTGTCTCTTGTCGGGATTTCCACATCTGTTTGCATTTGACACGATTATTTATGTTTATCGCGCGTTAAATGCGGTCTATTATCAGCATAATAATCGTAATTAAAAGCCAACTAATTTATGGCAGTGATTTATTTACCCCGCATTCACGGCATTTTTTAGTTCTTCCTTGCTTTATGCTCAAATTCCATCCGCTTTTTGGTTTATACCCTCTCCATCTCTCTCTCTCTCTCTCTCTCTCTCTTTCTCTTTCATACATACATATTTCAAATGGATCAATTTTATTCTCTGGTGAAAAGCATCTCAAATATGTAACTGACAGAAGTATTGCCGTCTTGAGACAGAGTAAGTACATATATGTAGGTATATATTTACATATAAATTTATTTATATTAACATCTACTTAAATATTGTTTTGTGAGTGCCTGTATGAGTCAACTTAGGCTAAGATGCTGTAATATAATCATGTCTTAACAATAAAATTTTGGAATATCCCTATTATGAAGTGGAATAGGCATTAGTTACAAGGAATTTCAAGTTTATATAAATAAATTACTTAATTCCACCTGAGCCCATGCAAAATCAGAAGACATAACCGACAGATTCCAATAATTATATATATTTTGTATCTGAGCGAGCTTAATTTGGAGTGTAAACTCTGCGTACTTTACCGATAGACAAGCTTAGGATTTATGCTCATTCCACTACCTCTTTATCGATAATTATCGACAATTATATCTAACTCTTTCAAACGCAGCTGAAATACCGAAAAACATAATAATTGGGATTTCGATTCCGAGTAAACAGATGGCAATACGAGCTTTGCGCAGGGCTTAGGATATCTAATATATCTTATATATATATATAAGGTTAGGGTATTATCCTTCCTGACTAGAGTATTCATACTTATTTTTACAGATTTTGTTGTAGATTAACTTAATAAAACTAAAAGGAAAGGGGAGAAACATAGTATAGGATCGATATTTCCGTTCTATAATTATCTCGTATACAGAGTCAAGTTAACATACTGTAAACTATTTTAAAAACCTTAAATTCTATTCGGAAAATGATTCTTGTTAATTTATATTTTATAGAAGGCTGAATTAGAGGCTAAACAATCACTCATGGGGAAAAGTATAATGAACAGAGAAGTTTAGATTGCTTTCAGTTTCTATGCAGAGCTCAAGGTGTGTCTAAGTCTAAGTCAGTTGTGCTTCGGTTTTCATAAGGAAAGCATTTTGATTGCCAGATATGCAATCTATTTTCATAATTATAAATATGTTAAATAATTATATCTTATAGTAAATTTTAGTAACTCCCGATCTTCGTCACAAGGTGGCTAGACAGCAAGGTAGAGAAAGAGGGAGAGAGTTACAAATATTATAAATAGATATGTATGTATGTATATAGACATGACATAATAGAATCGACTGTTCATGCACACAAGCATTA